CCCCAAAACCCCAAAACCCCAAAACCCCAAAACCCCGTAGGATGTCAGTAGATCAAAATGAGAGAATTAAATTAATTTGATATAGATTATAAATAAGGGAATAAAAATGGGTTGATGATATTAATTTGTTATTTATTTAGTCTTGTATTAAAAATTGTTTAAATATTGAAAAGATAGTCATTTATCCTATGAAGTCCAAATCAAGTTCAAAAGCAGCCTCAGTCAGTTAGGAGCTACCAACTACAGAAGCAAAAGCATTAAACATGCTATCACTAAATGTTTTAGGGGAGTCAGACCCGTCCAATATTACAAAGCAGGATCTCTTATCGGCTATTGCATTTGATAAGCAAGGCTAGATGTTATCCGTAGGTGATAGAGGAGGCAGAGTTATCGTTTTTTAAAAAGTAGAAGAAGGGGGTTCCATAGACTACGAATATATGACTGAATTTTAATCGCACGAGACGGCATTTGATCCCTTAAACTCAAATCAAATCCCAGAGAAAGTCAATGTTATAGAATGGATCAATTAACATACTTCCAGCATTCCTCAATTATTATCTGCTAATGATAAACTTATTAAGCTATGGCGATTAGAGTATAAAAAAGAAAAGAAATATGAGTCCTGTAAGAAGTTACTCTAAAAGGGGAAACTAATGCTTCCCAGATCGAAAGTTATAAACGAAAGTTGGGAAGGCAGATGTAAGTAGTTCTATAAAAGTGCGCATGAATATCATATCAATTCGCTGTGTATCTCCCCGGATGGAGAGAACTTTTTATCCGCAGATGATTTGCGAGTAAATCTCTGGAACGTAGAAAACGCATCAACGGTATACAACATCCTAGACATAAAACCTAAGAGCATAGACGATCTCGATGAGGTAATATCTCATTGCGAATTTCATCCTCTTATGCCCACTGTTTTTCTCTATACCACAACAAAAGGGTTCTTGCATATCTGCGATTTCAGGGAAGCCTCCTCATTTTAGTAATACTCTACACTCAAGTATGATGTAAGTCAGGGTACAAAGAAGAACGCTTTCTCAGAGATGATAAATTCACTTTCTTTTGGAAAGTTCATGAAAATGTATCCAAATCATATCGTTACAAGAGACTATTTGTCAGTGAAGATTTGGGATATAAGACAGACATAACAACAATCAGGAAAATAACCAGTATACCAGTCGGCATAAGTTTGCGACTATCTGGATAAGAACTTAGTTAACTTGTATGAGGAGGATTCCATCTATGATAAATTCTTCCTCGACATCTCTCCTTGCAATAATTATATGATCACGGGAGGTTACAATAAAAGTGGCCACCTTATAGATCTAAGTCTAAATCATAATAATACATTGGAAGCCAAATTCGAAATGAAGCGTGGTAAACCAGGTGGAAAATTAAGGAAATATCAAGCCAATAAAAAACTGGCCGCTTTAGAGGGCTAGGGATCTATCGATTTTAAGAAAAAGGTAATGAACGGTGTATGGCATCCTAAAGATAATACAGTTGCATTAGCATTTAGAAATTGTATCTTTATGTATTCAGACAAAATGTGAGAGTGTAAGTATTAGTAGTAGTAGTTATATACTGGAAAAATATATTGATTAATCGCCTCTAAGTTTGCACTCTTTATTTACAGATTAAATGTTCATTTGCATTTTCAGCCTTATGGGGTTTTGGGGTTTTGGGGTTTTGGGGTTTTGGGG